GAGACAGGTGAGAGACACCTGAGATAGGTACAGACACACCTGGGGTGGGTGGGAGATACCTGGGACAGGTACAGACACACCTGGGACAGGTACAGACACACCTAGGATGGGTGAGATACACCTGGACAGGTACAGACACACCTGGGACAGGTACACACAGGTACAGTCACACCTGGCCTCAGCCTGGGCGCCCCCGCGCTGGTGCTGCGGGCACTGGAGCCGCACCCCTTCCAGGTGAGACACACCTGGACAGGTGAGACACACCTGGGGTGGGTGGGAGACACACCTGGGACAGGTACACACAGGTACAGACACACCTGGGACAGGTGAGAGATACCTGGGATACACCTGGGACAGGTACAGACACACCTGGACAGGTACACACAGGTACAGACACACCTGGACAGGTACACACAGGTACAGACACACCTGGACAGGTACAGACACACCTGGGGTGGGTGGGAGACACACCTGGGACAGGTACACACAGGTACAGTCACACCTGAGACAGGTACAGACACACCTGGGACAGGTACAGACACACCTGGACAGGTACAGACACACCTGGGTAGGTGAGACACACCTGGGATACACCTGGGATAGGTACAGACACACCTGGGACAGGTGAGACACACCTGGGACGGGTGGGAGACACCTGAGATACACCTGGGACAGGTGAGACACACCTGGGACAGGTGAGAGATACCTGGGATACACCTGGGACAGGTGAGACACACCTGGGATGGGTGAGACACACCTGGGATGGGTGAGAGACACCTGAGACACACCTGGGACAGGTACAGTCACACCTGGACAGGTACAGACACACCTGGACAGGCACACACAGGTACAGACACACCTGGACAGGCACACACAGGTACAGACACACCTGGACAGGTACAGAAACAACTGGGATGGGTGAGACACACCTGGAGAGGTTCAGTCACACCTGGGGCAGTTCGGTTATAGCCCGGTGTCACCCAGGTGTCACTCAGGTGTGTCACAGGTGAGACAGGGACAGGTGACACAGGTGTACCAGGGATGGGTGTAGGTGTGTCACAGGTGACACAGGTGTGTCAGGGGTCACACAGGTGTGACACAGGTGTGACACAGGTGTGTCAGGGGTCACTCAGGTGTGTCACAGGTGACACAGGTGTGTCACAGGTGTGTCAGGGGTCACTCAGGTGTGTCACAGGTGACACAGGTGTGACACAGGTGTTTCAGGGGTCACACAGGTGTGTCAGGGGTCACACAGGTGTGACACAGGTGTGTCAGGGGTCACACAGGTGTGACACAGGTGTGACACAGGTGACACAGGTGTTTCAGGGGTCACTCAGGTGTGTCAGGGGTCACTCAGGTGTGACACAGGTGACACAGGTGTGACACAGGTGACACAGGTGTGACACAAGTGTGTCAGGGGTCACACAGGTGTGTCCCAGGTATGTCCCAGGTGTGTCACAGGTGTGTCCCCCAGCAGGTGGACCTGTCCCCGTTTGAGCTGGTGGCGCTGGAGGCTCACCTGAGCCTGGGGGTGGGCACAGGTGTGTCACAGGTGACACAGGTGTGTCACAGGTGACACAGGTGTGTCACAGGTGTGTCAGGGGTCACTCAGGTGTGACACAGGTGTGTCCCAGGTGTGTCACAGGTGTGTCCCCCAGCAGGTGGACCTGTCCCCGTTCGAGCTGGTGGCGCTGGAGGCTCACCTGAGCCTGGGGGTGGGCACAGGTGTATCAATGACAGGCACAGGTGTGTCACAGGTGACACAGGTGTGTCACAGGTGTGTCCCAGGTGTGTCACAGGTGTATCCCCAGCAGGTGGACCTGTCCCCGTTCGAGCTGGTGGCGCTGGAGGCTCACCTGTCCCGCTACGCGGCCGATTGGTTCCTGCCGCGCTTCCGCCTGACGCGGCGCCTCCTGTGGGACGTGGCCGCCGCCCCCGAGCCCCCGCCCCGCCCCAAGCCCGTCCGCATGAAGGTCAACAGGTGAGGCGCACCTGGGCACACCTGGGCACACCTGGGCACGCACCTGGGGGGTTTGGGTGCACCTGGGCACTCACCTGGGGGTACCTAGGCACTCACCTGGGGATTTGGGTACACCTGGGCACTCACCTGGGGGGGTTGGGCACACCTGGGCACTCACCTGGGGGGTTGGGTACACCTGGGCACACCTGGGCACACCTGGGCGGGTTTTGGGCACACCTGGGGCACACCTGGGGCACACCTGGGCGGGTTTTGGGCACACCTGGGCACACCTGTGCATACCTGGGCACACCTGGGCGGGTTCTGGGCACACCTGGGGCACACCTGGGTGGGTTTTGGGCACACCTGGGCAGGTTTTGGGCACACCTGGGCACACCTGGGGCACACCTGGGCGGGTTTTCGGCAACCCTGGGGCACACCTGGGCAGGTTTTGGGCACACCTGGGCACACCTGGGGCACACCTGGGTGGGTTTTGGGCACACCTGGGCA